GCTTTGCACCACCAACTGGCGGTGATAATGTGCTCCTCATCACTGCCGCCTCGCCATATGAACCAGCATTGAAGACATTTTCACCGCCAGCTTGTTGTACGATACGGCGGTGATAACCGTGCTGCAGTATAAATAAATTCATAATTTTTTTCAAATAAAGTCAGATGAAAACAAATTTTATATAAAAGTTGTAGATCTCGACGAGATCGACAACTTTATAGTTGATGACTTTTTCGTTTGAAATCATTTACGGTCCTAGAATTCTGTTTGAAGCACTCAAATTTTGAAATTCAAATTTTTCGAATTGTACAAACGATTTTAGATGGGAAAACGACCAAAACCAAAGTTGTAGATCTCGATGAGATATATAACTTTGTAGTTGACAGCTATTTCATTAGAAATCATTTATAGTCTCAAATTTGTATCTGAAGTTTTAAAATTTTAAAAACCAAAATTTTCAAACAACCCTGGATGGAAAATCGATCAAAACCGAAGTTGTAGATCTCAATGAGAACAACAACTTTGTAGTTGATGAGTTTTTCATTTAAAATCATTTGAGGTCACAAAAGTCTAGCTGAAGTTTTGACATTTTGAAATTCAAATTTGTTAAACGACCTCGGATGGCGAAATAACCAAAATCAAAGTTGTAGATCTCGATTAGAACAACATAGTTTTAGTTTATGACTTTTTTAGCTGAAGCCGTTTAGGTTCTAAATATTCATTTTAAATTCTGAAAAGTGAATACTAGGAGAATGGATATGTTATTTAAACACAAATGACTTAGGAGTGGAGTGGTTAGAGGAGCAAAGGACAAGGGCCTTAGGTTCGAATCCTAGAATCGCGTACCAAAATTTTTGCTATTTTTTGGCCCGTTTTTGGGAATTTTGAAAATTCAAATCACGAACCGACTGTGATAAGCTATTATCACCGCCGTTTGCAAACCGTCTGTGATAAGAATGTCACCACCACCGACAGTTTACCGCCGAGACAAAAAAAAACGCTAGTGGTGGACTTTACGAACCGCTTGTAATAGGTAGTGCATGGTTGTGCAAAAGAGTTTTGACAAATATAGACCGAAAACTCTTTTGCAAGTCTAATTCTCGGGGACACATTGGCTTCGGCACTTGGCAGGATTGTTCTATGATGAATATATAGGAGTGCATCTCCAGGCGTGTCGGATCCTTGAAACGGATCCATTGTGCTTCTTCCTTGTCTATGGATGGCTATTTAATTAATTTTAGAATTGGGTTTTAGAAGCAAGCTAAGTTTACAAAGTTGGATTACATACTGAACGGAAAAACTCAAACACAATTACAGAATGATTAATCATCTAAAGCCTGATTTCCTCAAGCTTTCCTTCTTAGTCTCATCTCCCACTTGATCAGGGAACCACTTGTGATGGTGTGTTCAAAACTCATCCAAAAATCCTCCAATTTCTTTCCTTCCAGATGTTCCAAGCTCCATACATGATCAAAGCGGCTTTCATTCTCCATGTTCATGTGCTCTGGCTCTGCATTGATGTTGCGTGCCCATCATGCATCGACCGTTTAATCGTCGTATTCTGGAAGTTTGCTGATTTACCCAACTCAATCTTTCATTTTGAACCACACCTTCACAAAAGGGCATTGCACAAATAAGTGTACCACAGTCTCTGGTGTCTGATCATAGAGCAGGCATATCAGCTTGATTACATGGCCAATTTTTTTTTTTTTTTTTTTTTTTTTGCCTCAACATGATCCGCAGTGAGGACCTTCGCCTGAATTAATAGCCATGCAAAGAACTTACACTTTCCTTCATGTCTCTCCAGGTTGAACTAGCCTGAAGCTGCAAAAAGATAAAGAATTAGGTTTCGAGTTAATATTTGTGAGTTGTGGATTTTTTTTAGAAGTAGTTGTAACTTTTTATAACAATAATGTGGTTTAAACAAAGCCAGAATATTTCTTTCCGTAATCTAACAGAATAATTAAACTCAAGGTGGGCCGACAACCCCCCTAACAATAAGGTGGTTTAAACAAAGCCAGAGTAGTTTGTTTTGAAAGAAGTAATCAATGATTAGATCCAAATAATGGCTTTAAATTTTAATTAAACACTTACTTGTAGCTAGATAGATTGTCAATCAATTGATGATTATTTAACTGAAATATTCTCAAGTTTGTTCTGGTAGAACAAAAATTTATACTAGTTGAACAGGAAAGGTATACATCTTGAACAAATCATGTACTTCAAGAATCAAGAATAACAAAAAATTGTACACTGAACAAATCATGCGCGATTCCTTTGCCGGTGCTGACTACTACTACTAATGGGCTTCAATTTGGAACAAACACAATGCAATTTGAGCCGAGCAAACTAAGACCACATGAGCCGAAATACACACTGGTTCTCTTAAATCTTGATTGAGTGTGTGGAGGGAGAAATTGGCCATATCCGTGTATGTCTGTGTATGCAAAATCGCCTAAGTGACACGCAGGCACGACGCATCACAGTCCCCGGCGCGGCGACGGTGAGGTCGTGCACAGCGCCATCGCAGTCCCGATCCGACGGTGACCGCTACAGCGTGTGAGCGAGTCACCCTCAGCCGGCTCCCATCCGAAGTTCCGAACAAACTGCGTGGCGCGCGGCCTATGGGAATTGGGAAGGAGGATTGGCACACTGTCGGGCGACCACAGTCATCAGGACACCATTACACCAACGACGCTCTGGTCAGTCGTCAGGAAAACTACGGCCATGTTCGTTTCTCTTATAATTCGTTTTTTTAACTTATTTTTTAGTCGGAACAGTATTTTCTCTACAACAAATCAGCGGAACAGTGTTTCGGTTTGTTTTTTCAGAAAAACGAACTGGGCCTACGTGACGACGGTGGTGACCCTGTGGACTCGGTCAGTCATGAGAGCGAGTCTCCAGTAATTCCGTTCCATTGCTAGCAGAGTAGCAGGAGTATTATTCTGTACGTACGAGGTTGCCGCGTATGGGGAGCGCGTGTCTAGAATTGTAGGATTATTTTAGACCGCGCGTTATGATGTTTTGAGCAAATGAAAATATTGGAAACCTCATCTCTTCTAGCAATCACAATTATTCCCTAATACAAACCTTGATGCATGGCTATCGATAGCTATATTTTGAACTAGTATAGGTTGGCCGTGCAACTTAAATATTTTGTTCGTCCATGCATGTTGATTTTTGTCATAAATTTATACTTTATCCAATTGTATTTTATCACTATTATTTTTTAATTTTAAAAAGATGTAACTTAAATATTTTTACATGAATTTATAATTAAATTTTAATTGTATTTTATCACTATTATTTTTTATTTTTTGAAAAGATGTAACTTAAATATTTTTACATGAATTAAAATATTTTTATGCAAAGATATAATTTCAATGCTTACCATAATGATAATTTTATTCCTCTGGCCTCTAATATTGTCATCACTTTGCTCTACTATATATATTTATTGAAAAAAAATCTACATAACCCCTCACCTCTTCTAACTAACGGTAACCGATAGAAGGTCTACTCCACCCTCTGAACTTTGAAGCCGTCTAACAAGCACCTTAAAGTTTTCCAAACCGTTTAATTATTATGTGTGATTGTGGTTTTGGCAGAAAGTTTTGCCTACGTGGCACTCCAACGTGGAAAGAATGTGTGGTTTGTTTTATATATTGTGATGTTATTTTTGCCTTCAAATAGGACTGAGCCAAGAACTTGAAAATTGACAAAGTCACCAAGATCTCGCTATCACATACACGGCTATAGTGGGCGTATTTTGGGAGTTTGGGTTAACCCTTACTACAACAAACGTGGTAGGGTGAGCGTGTTCATATGTGTAGGGTAGTTGTACGTGTATGCATGAGCGTCTATGACTATAGTGGGTCTTGTAAATAAAAAAATAAAAAAAGAGGGAATAAGGGTGACCTCTGGCCTCTAATATTGTCATCACTTTGCTCTACTATATATATTTATTGGAAAAAATCTACATAACCCCCTCACCTTTGGCACTACGGCTACTCCACCCCTTGAACTTTGAAGCCTTCTAACAAGCATCTTAAAGTTTTCCAAACCGTTTAATTAACCCCCTGGAGTGGTTTTGGCAGCCGGTTTTGCCTACATGGCACTCCAACGTGGAAAGACAGGACAGGGTGGCGCGCGGGCCCCTGATGTCAGTCCCCTTCGGCCCCAAATACGGACTAAGCCGAAGAACTTGAAATTGACAAAGTCACCAAGATCTCGCTATCACATACACGGCTACGTCTATAGTGGGCGTATTTTGGGAGTTTGGGTTAACCCTTGCTACAACAAACGTGGTAGGGTGAGCGTGTTCATATGTGTAGGGTGGTTGTACGTGTTCATGAGCATCGACTAAGCCACGGACTCAATCATGCTGATCGAATTGGCAGTTCGAAAGGACGAGGAAGCCACGGACCAGTGCGCCCGGCCGGCGGCCGTCTATAAATCCCATGCAACCTCAGAACCTCCGTTCCAACGCGCCACCATATCGCTTGATTTCGACCAGCTTCGATCGAACGAAATAACTACCTACGGCCAGCTGCCACGCTTTTGGAAAGACGCACGCAACAAACAACAGCTTGAATTTGAAAGCCAAGCTGCCGGAGGAGAGAGAGAGAGAGAGAGAGAGAGAGAGAGAGAGAGAGAGAGAGAGAGAGTCGTGTGTATTATTCATTCATCGATGGCGAGGCTTAGGCTGGTCTTGTTTGTCGCCGTCGTCGTGTCCGCGGCGCTCACGCCGCCGTCCGCCATCGCGAAGCTAAGGACGGACTACTACGCCAGCACCTGCCCCAACCTCGAGACCATCGTCCGGGGCTCCGTCAGGCAGTCCATGGCGCAGTCCCAGATCGCCGCGCCCGCCGCGCTCAGGCTCTTCTTCCACGACTGCGCCGTCAGGGTACGCACGCACATACTACTCATATCCCAGCTGCTGGCTCCCTGCTAGCACGCATGCTGCCGATTGATCGAGCTCGATCGCCGTCTTCTGATGCATGCGGATGCAGGGCTGCGACGCGTCGATCATGATCGTGAACTCGAATGGCGACTACGAGTGGCGGAACACCGCCAACCAGTCGCTCAAGCCGGATGGGTTTCAGGCCATTCTGAGCGCCAAGGCCGCCGTAGACAGCAACCAGCAGTGCCAGTACAAGGTGTCGTGCGCGGACATCATGGCCCTCGCCGCCAGAGAAGCCGTCTACCTGGTATGTGCTATTCGTCAGCTTCCATGCTGTCAGTCGTGTTGCTACTTGGTCGTTCAAAAAGAATAAAATCTTGTCGTCAGTTACATATATGCTGTGCATGATGATGCAACTAACTTTCTGCATGCATCGGTTGCAGAGTGGCGGGCCGTACTACCAGGTGCAGCTCGGCCGGTTCGACGGCAGGGTGTCGACCAGGGACAGCGTCCGGCTGCCGAGCGTCAACTTCACCCTGGACCAGCTCAACGCCTTCTTCTCCGGCCTCGGCTTCTCCCAGGCCGAAATGATCGCCCTCCTAGGTAAACGGCCGGCACCGCCGGCTCCTCATCCATCGTCTCACTTAGCTCGTCTCGGAATTGCCAGCCTGCTAACCGACCCTGATGACCTTGCACGCCCGCATTCCAATTCGACCAGGTGCGCACACCGTCGGCGCGGCGGACTGCCCCTTCTTCCAGTACAGGATCGGCAGCGACCCAAGCATGGACCAGGGCCTCGCGTCGCAACTGCGCGGCACCTGCGGCTCCAACCCCAGCGGCGGCTTCGCGTTCTTAGACCCCACGCCGGTGAGCTTCGACAACGCCTTCTACCGGAACCTGCAGGGAGGCAGGGGGCTCTTGGGCACCGACCAGGTGTTGTACAGCGACCAGAGGTCCCGCGGCGCCGTCAACAACTACGCGTCCAACCAGGGCGCTTTCTTCATCGACTTCGTGGCGGCGATCACCAAGCTCGGCAGGATCGGAACCAAGAAGGCAGCCACCGGCGAGATACGCCGCGACTGCCGGTTCCCGAACTAGCGAGCAGCTGTGTAGTTAGTTGGTTAGCCTCGCTGGCCGATTCACATCATTTGATGATACATATATATATGTACTATATATACTCCGTATTACAGTATATACTATATGTAAGAGTATATATAAGTCTATCACGGCTGTAATTATAATAAGTTGATGGCGTTGATTCAGTGGCCTCATGTCTTTGGCGATATCGCACGACAGCTTTTGTCCCAAAGATTTTTTTCTGAGATATATTGGCTGCTTAAAAATTTTGGCTACTTTGAAGAATCTGCTATCTAAGAGTTTGTTTGGACACACTCGTATCTACATCAATCTATGTGTGTTCAAATGGATTGAGATAAAATAAACTAAATTTCACTCTAATCCACTTCGATGTATATAGATTAACATGGACACAGGTGCACGCAGACAAGTCCAAAAGATGTTGGGTATCAAGCATCCGGCAATCCTTTCTCCGAGGAGAGTGTAAAGTCCCAACCTCCAAGTATCTAAAAACCTTGAATTCCCTAGAGCTGATCAGTGGTGGATGATGGATACAAATTAAAATGTAGCACAACTAAATCAATAGAGCTCTGTAAGGCTCCATTCATGGTAGAGACATAATGGAAAAAACACACTAGAGAAAATCATGATTTAGAAGCTGAGAAAATGATGCACCAAAATGAAAGTATGGCAGAGGCCCTACCTAGCAATAGCATTGAGTGCTCCACTAGAGCTTATGATGCCTTGCATTCTTTAGACCTTTTTTTGAATTTGGTCTAATAGTTTTACCATTTTCTACTTCAGAAAAAAGAGAGAAGTTTTAAGTCTTCGTGATGCTGCAAGGTTACCAAGTCAATAGTCATGCATGTGTACCACTCTCTCAAGTTGGTGTAGAAAACAAGCTCGTCAACAAGGCAAGCTTATTTTTAAAGTGACGACAAAAACTTTGTTATGATTTTTATTAGATGGAGAAAATAAAAATATAAATGTCTACCTAGATTTTTGAGTAAAAATTGGGCCTAATATCCACACAATTGGGAGAGTGTGCCACTAATCTTGTTGAACAAACTATGGAACGTCGTCCAAACAACTAACAACTTTACCTCACTACTTGCTCAACCCTGAGCCAACTTTGGTCGAAAACGATCCAACTAGAAAATCAACTACACTGGCATCTAGCTAACAAGTAAAGCAACTATGAACAACTAAACCCAAGAACCAAACTAGCAACATAAAGTTGGAGCTGAAAAGCCTAGCGATGCCTTCAAGAAGGAAATGATGCCAAAGACATCGACAAGCTAGCCCGTCATGGAAAAGTTTTCACCTATAATTCTAGCATGGTAGGAGAAGATGTATGAAGAGGACGCCTCCAAGAAACGTCGTCGTACAAGCTTTCACCCTGACCTCAACAACCTAAGAGAGAGTTATACTAGTAAAGCGGCAACAATAGAATCAGTGTCTTAGGAATGTAGTTTGTACTACAATCCTCGTACCAACGCCAAGAGGCACAACTAGTGAGTAGTCCCTGTAAACTACCTGCGTCAATGATTTAATTGGTGATTTATCCATTGCTCCAACTGTCCTAAAATATAAATCATGGTGTAACTCGATAATTACTCTATCTTCAAGATCACACTTTAACCGATAATTTATCTTATAATTTATTGTTTCTAACAATAAAAATTCGATCATTAAAAAATATTTCTAAATACAAGATCACACTTTAACTGATAATTTATCTTACAATATATTATTTCTGACAACAAAAGCTTGATCATTAAAGAATATTTCTAGGTACAACTCCATTGTAAGTACCTTTGTAGTACAAACTTTTTTGTTTGATTAGATTAATTACTAGTCAAAGTTTGAATTTAAAACACATACATATCTTATATTTTAGGACAAAAGGAATATTTGTATGCTAGTCGCTTAGATACGGTGTTGTTTGGTGCCGCTCCGGCTCCAGCTCTAGCTCCAGCTGAAATGGCCGAACGTGACGACTGCGTCTGAGACGGTGGAAGAGGAGTGTTCTAATTGTGCGGTCGACTTAGTGTAAAAGGCAGTTGTCAATTAGAGTCTGTTTGATATAGCTCTTAGAGCTGTTTCTAGGCTTAATTTACAATCTCTTCCAAGCATCTTTTTAATTAAGAAATGATTCTATGCTCCACTTTTACATGATATGGCCTACTTAGATATGCTATTTGCTTCCTGCCAGATTATCGTGCTCTGAGAACTTATATATTTTCTGCAGGAAATTTGAAGTCATCTTTGATGTTGATCATTTTATAAGTTATTTGAGGGACGATGTACGGATCATCTGGGATATCATTGACTGATTCATACAGAAGAATGAGCTCTTTGCCAGTATAAAGTAGGTGTTTTTTTTTACTCTGTTTTGGTTACCTGAAGCTTTCATAAAATGCTACTTTCTATCACCAGAAATAGTTCTTTTGTGATTCTGCTGCTATTATCTCAATAGGGTGGGAAAATTCAAAGAACCTTCGTGCCGCTACAGATAACATAAATGTCATCTGCCCATGCATTCTTAGCTATATTATAGTCTACAGCAGATCGAACAATAAAGGCATCGAGCAGGTTCCATACTGACCAAAATTTTTTTCCAAATTAATGAACCATTTCCATTTTGATTACTCAAGATGCCATTGCTGCCTTTGTTCAGGTCTCAATCACTTTGCATCGGTCGTTGCAGGCACGATGCTAACCCATACACATGCTTTATAAAACAATACAGTGGGATACGTCGACGTCCTTACCGTCCTCACTCTTGAAGTTTGATTTGGTTATTATACTAATTAGTTATTTTCTCACTGATGTGGATTGGCAGTGTGCAGACGAGTGGACGAGAAGTTCAGCATAGCTGTCATCGATGCAAGTCTAATGCAATGGCTAAAGATCAGCATAGCTGTCATCAGCCAAACTGATGCTGCGGTCGCTGTGCAGACGAGTGGACGAGAAGATTGGTTTTTACATTACTTTTCATATATCTATGTGCAGTCTCATAGTTTAAATGAACAGCAGGCACAATAATTTACACCGTGTATTGTCATGCAATATTTGTTATAATGTGGTATAAATAAATGTGTATTGTCATTGAGTTTCAGTACAATCGCAGAAGATAAGTCATGATGGGGTTGTGCATGAAAAATATATGTTCTAGTCGAATTTGAATTATAAATTTGATTTTTTTTTACGAAAAAATATACCGTAGGGGCTGTTGGTACTGTAGTCGCCCCTACAAATCGATTTGTAGGGACGGCTAGTACTACAACCGCCCCTACAAATCGATTTGTAGGGGCGACTAGTAATACGAGCCGCCCCTACGAATCGATTTGTAGGGACGGCCTGAGAACTACTCCTACAAATACATGATTTATAGAGACGGTTTGGTAGGGGGCGGCTGGTCAAACCGTCCCTACGAAGGGTTACGAGCCGCAAAAAAACGTTTGTGTAGTAGTGGACCACATTTGTGTAGTAGTGGACCACGTGTACATAGGTGAAGCCACGATTCAAATACTTTTGCTCGGGCTCCGGCTTAATCTGTGGAGTCAGTTGTCCAAGGCTGATGGCCAGCCCCATCTGCTTTTGCCGTGGACAATGCTGATACGTTGCCCCGTTGCACGTGGACTCGTTACACCGTTCCACCGGTGCCGATCGTTATGTGCCACCGGTCACCAGTCACCAGTCACCACGCACCATTAGCACTAGACGCGCGGCGCGGCATCATCTTCACCACCACCGTGTTATGTTATTTGTTGCATTCGATCGATCGATATAATGCCTAGCTTGCGCCATCGGCATCAGATAGATCACCACCTGCACAATTTCCAAACCTAATCTTCAAAGTGCACCGTGCACAATATATGCGCGCGCTCCACTACACTCGATCGGCTCTCTCCACATGGACGTGCCAATGGCCGGCCTGTCACTGTCAGCTACTCCTCTAGTGAGTGTGTGTCGCTTGTGCTTGTGACTCATTAGACAGCGGATTAAGCAAATGCTAAGCTGCCCTGTACCGCATTTCGTTGAGCAGCCAGGCAGCAACCATTATATCACATCAACAGAAGGTTAAGGCGGTGTTTGGTTCTTTAGTCGCTCCTAAATTTTATGTCACATCGAATGTTTAGATACTAATAAAAACATTAAATATATATTAATTAAAAAACCAATTACATAGATGGAGGTTAATTTGCGAGATGATTTTTTAAGCCTAATTAATCTATTATTAGCACATGTTTATTGTAGCACCACGTTGTCAAATCATGGACTAATTAGGCTTAAAAGATTCATATCGCAAATTAGTCGCAAGTTGTGCAATTAGTTTCATAATTAGCCTATATTTAATACTCCATGCATATGTCCAAATATTCGATGTGACAAAAATTTTAAGAACACATAAAGAACCAAACATGGCCTAAGTCACAAGCAGATATACAATACCGTCACCCATAAAGGACGTACCCGTGCAGAGAGCTCCCGCTCTGTGCGGGGTCTAAAAAAAAGTGTCAGTAGCAAGCCTTACCCTCACTTGTGCAATACGAGGAGACCATGACTCGAACCCGAGACCTTCCGATCACAGATGGTAAGACTCTGTATATATCACACGCTTGACGCTTGTTCAATCAACACAAAATAATATCAGACCGAACGCCTGGCTATATGCCACCTGCATGTACGTTCTAACTTTTTGAATAACTAACTAGTTGCTTGTGTCCTGTACGTAACAGCACGATCAGCGTGATCCTGCTTTCCTCCAGAGTCCAAAGTCGAGTCCACTCGCCCGTGCGCAAGTGTTCCATTCCACTCCACGCATCGTCTTTTCCTTTTCTTTTTTTCTCTTCTGATTTCTGATACAGTATACAGGCAATCGCAGGTGGGGCCGTTTGTTTATCGAGCCCCGGCCCATGAACCTCTACCGTAACAACCTAAAAACTAAAAATCACAACTATGTGATGTTGAGTGACACATGTAGAAGCCAAACTCTAGTTTTAAATTAGATGTGACCCAACTAGGTTAAAATCATAAGCATAGTTTAGTTTTATGCCACATGTATAATTAAATTCCTAAATAAACAAATCATGCATGCATCCTTAATTTCACTTGTGATTTGGATTCTTTTACCTTATGTGATGTTTAACTAGCTTACTTAATATTTATGATAAACCCTAATATATGGGATGTATTTTGACCACCAATTGAAACACCTTGTGGGACCCACTACATAACTCGAAGCTCAAAGTTTAAACTTTAACTAAATTTGAATCAAGCAAAAGAAATAAAAGAGAAAGGAAAAGGAGGGAGGGCAATGACCCAAATTTTGCCTCGACCGCCCAACTAGCCCAGCCCAAAATTAAGCCTCGCTACGCCCTTTCACGCACGTAGTCACCGACAAGCCGGACCATGCCCGTCGGTAATCACGACCGCAAGACACCCGCCAAGATCAGGACAAGCTGACAAACTGGACCCCACGTGTCAGCCACCCCAGCTACAGGATCATCTTCCTCCCCACGCCAACCTCTTCCGCGATCGGGAGCCGACCACGGAGCAGACGCGGGCCCGGGGTCATGCACATCGCATGACCCCTGTTTCTTTCTGCGTCGCGCCCTACGCTATCAAGACGCTGGCCGTCGGATCGTCGCGCACGCATCACCACCGCTCGATCGCCGTCCGCCATTGGAGCCCTTGCAGCTCGGCTATAAAAGCCAACGCCCGCGAGCCCTAACCCTCAGCCCGTTCGCCGCCGCCGCTGGTGGCACAACACCACACCGCGTCAAGCCGAGAGAGAGGGAAGAGGAAGAAGCGAGGAGGAAGGAAGCCGCTGCGGAACCGGACCTCGCCGGAGTCAGGAGCGCCGCCCCGATCGGCTACAGCGACGTAGCTGCTCGGCACGGCACTGTATCGCCTCATCACGGCCCCGCCTCGCCACCGCACCGCCATCCTACCGCCACGAGCCCTACGGTGAGCCATGTTGTTCGCCGCTCACCGCGCTAGCCGTACTCGCCATGAACGCCACCGCGTCCCCGCACCTGGGGAACGCAGAGGCGGAGCATTCCCACTCCTAGACACGCTGCACACGCACCGCACGCGCACAAGCCCAAGGCATGGCCTCATCGACCCCTAACTGCTCGGGAACACCGGCATGACCATACCTAGCCTCTCGGACGCCATGAACAAACCACGTCGGAGCACGAGCTCTTGCTCCGGCTTAGCCAACCGGTAGCATAGAAGGACCACCACGACCCTCTTGTTGAGCCAAACGGAAACGCGAAGCAAAGGGAAGAAAGGGGGCGACGCCGAGCCCTCTGCTCAGGAACGCCAGCGCCGAGCGCTCTGCTCATGCCATGCATACACATCACGCGCTCACCATGGTCAGAGCACAACCATGGCGAGACCACCGCGTCTTCTACGTCGCGGTAAAGGCGACGTTGACACCCTGACTGGCTCCGCCATGACGAGAGACACACCGCGCTCACCTTAGCCAAGGATGAAGCCCACCGGAGCCCTGCGTTGCTGCACCGCACCTCGTCAGAGCGCCACCGCCTCCGTTTTGCCCCAACCACCGTTGTCGGAGGCGTCGAGAGCTCCCGGAGCCCCTTCAACCTGCTCGCCATGGTCGTAGAAGCATCGTGGAGCTCACACGCTCCTCCAACTGGGCTCTCGCTACCACTGCAGCCTGTCCATGCATGCCGACGAACCCACGCCGCCGTTCACCACGTCCAGCCAACTAGAGCCGCCCGACCACCATGTTAACTTCACCGGGACACCCGCTATGGCATGGCCAAGCTATTGCCCACCTTAATTGCACACCCGCGCCGCTGGAGGGGCTCGCCGGTGAGCTCACCACCGGTGAGAGCACGACGGAGGAGAAAGGGATTTTCCCCTCGCCGGCCACACGTCCGAGCACTTGGTGCACGTGAACCGAACACTAGGAAGGAGTAAGTGGACCAAGTCCTTCATAGACCGGCTCTGCGGTCTATGGACCAACGCAGGCGGGTTCACCATGAACCGCGCCTCACCTGTCAGACACCGTTTGACCCCGGACCCACCTGTCAGCCGCGGTTTAGCTCGGATGGCGCCATGCTGACGTCATGCCGGTGAAGAGACCACGCCAGCGTCGGGGACTTCGGCGACCACTCCGACCACCTCAGCAATCTCACCGACCACGTCGGTGAGCTCTCCGACCACTTCGATGACCTCTCCGACCACCTCACCAGTTGTGTCCCTACATGCCACGTGAACCAGTCACAGTCTGACACGTGTCAACCCTGAATTAATCAGCCTTAAGTTAATTTTCAGAAATACATAACTAATTCATACGACCTCAGAAAAATACAAGATCAGGACCAAAATTTATCTAAAATCGAGCTCTACGCAATGAACCCATGTTTGAGTGCATTTGGCTCTTTTGAATCTTGATTGCTTCTTTGTGCTATTCTATAGGCGTCGCTAACGCGACTATAATGTGATCGTTTGCAGACTCGGAGGAGAACCGGACGGACGAGGACCGAGAGTACCGTGAGGAGTACGGAGACGACTACACTAAAGGTGCCACATCCTATCCAATCTCGTAGCACCTACTACGCATGGCTAAAATAGAAATGCTAGTGTTTTACTTCATTGTTATAATCACACTATGATAGGACTTGCATGGTAGTATGCTTTCTTGATGGCCTTTACCTTGACGCAACCTTACCCCTACTCACCCTGCTGTTAGGCTAGTCACACGCTTGCTACTATATTTTATTGCTTATTACTTCTACTACGCTTGCACTACATTGATGCGTGGTGGAAACTGGTGTTATCTGGACTATGGGGAGAGTGCTGCGTGTGTGACTTGGGTGCGTGGAGGGTGAGGATTGTGTCGACCAAGTTGGAGTATACGTCGAGCCTGGGGCAAGTCTTGCCGTGGGGTGCTACCTGGGCACCCCTGGAATGGATACCTGTGGTGGGTAAATGGTATATGAGGTGGCTCTAGGTGTGAACCTGTGATGGGAGGAGCCCAGGGTGGAGGTGCTGTGGTGGCACGGTAA